GTTACTACTATTTATTCATATCCTATGAGAGTAGCTTTTTTTCCATCTGGGTGTGTTGGTACCTGCTTGTGATCCTGGCATTTGGAAGGTAGAGGCAGAAGGTTTAAGAGTTTAAGGTCATTCTTAGCTACATAGCAAGTTTGAGGTTAGCCTGGGCTATGTGAGACCCTAACTCAAAAAAGAAACAAGTGGGCCAATGAGAGGGTTCAGAAGGTAAACGAACTTGTTGCACAGGCCTCATGACCCACACTTAATCCCTTGGCTTCCAAGGATGGAAGGAAAGAGCTGAATCCTGAACATTGTTCTTAGATCTCCATGTGTTTGCTTGAGCACATACACTCACACGCGCGCGCACACACACACACACACACACACACACTGAACACAGGCATTCACAAAAACAAGTTGAAGGGACTGGAGAGATGGTTCAGTGGTTAAGAGCACTGGCTGCTCTTGCAGAGGACCAGGGTTTTGTTTCTAGCACACATATGGTATCACGAAACCATCTATAATTCTTGTTCCAGGGGATCAGATGCCCTTTTCTGGCCTCCACAGGCAACAAGACATACACACAATAAGTACATATGCATCTAGGCAAAATACTCATACACCAAAAATAAAAATAGAGATTTTAAATATTTAAGTAGAAAAACATAGATGAGTGCAAATATATTGTATATATCTTTCTGTGCCTGGCCTATTTGACATACTGATGTCTATTGTGATTTGCCATGTTCTGCAAGCAGCGGGATTCTATTCTTCTTAAAAATTGATTAATATCCCATTATGTAAATATACTTCTTAAAAATGCGTTCATCAGGGCTGAAGATGGCTCAGTGGTTAAGAGCACTGGCTCGCCGGGCGTTGGTGGCGCACGCCTTTAATCCCAGCATTCGGGAGGCAGAGGCAGGTGGATCTCTGTGAGTTCGAGGCCAGCCTGGTCTCCAGAGCCAGTGCCAGGATAGGCTCCAAAGCTACATAGAGAAACCCTGTCTCGAAAAAACAAAACAAACAAACAAACAAAAAAAGAACAGTGGCTCATCTTCCAGAGGACCCAGGTTCAATTGTGAGCACCCACATATTGGCTCACAACCATCCACAACTCTGGTCCCAGGGGACCTAACCCTATCTTCTGCCCTCTGAGGGCACTGCATATATGAGGTACACAAACATACAAGTAGGAAAAGCACCCATGCTCACAAATGAATCCATTTTCAAAATGCATTCATCTATGAGTGGATGCCTTATTTCCCCACCTCAGCTAACGCTGTAACAAACAAGAAGTACAATAAGATTGTCAGGGGAAATGTTGGATCTACTTTTAGTTCAGTGAAGAGAACCATTTTTATGTTTTTGAAACAGCCAGGCCTTGAACTCCCTATCCTCCTGCCTCAGCTTTCCAAGTGCTGGTATTCCAACCTGTGCTTCCATGCTTGACTTTGGCTGAGAACATTCTGGGAAAAACATCTCTGTTGGGCACACAGCCTCTGTGTACTCAGTGTATGTGTGTAAGAGTGGAATTGTTGGGTCAGAGCGTGAGGGCCTGCTCAGCATTGGGAAGTTGTGCCCTGCAGGTTTCTAGGTGGCTGATGATTATTGAGTATTGCATGCTGTGTGCACTCAAAGATGATCCGGAGTCCGCAAGGCTAAGATTTCTTTATTTAGATAAACACCAGCCCACATGCAAGCCAGAGCGTGCCCAGAGGCCGCAAGCTATCGTGGCCAGAGAGAGGGGGCATCCACATTTGTGCGGTCCCTTAAGAATTGTCCTTGAATCATCTTCGCCCTCACAGGCGTGGCCAGGCACACCTGTAGGGGCTACTAGGAGGTGGGGCTACAATGTCTCCCTACAGGTGGCTGTATCAGTTTCATCCCTGCCTTGAGCTGAACTTAAAGGTCCCGACCTGTATTTCATAACTGAGTAACTCAGTGTTTCAATTATCCCAAACAGGCAGTGCTCTGTAGCAATATTAACCACCTTCAGTTTGAAAAAGATTTTTTTAAAAAAATGCCACTGAGGACTATATTTTACTTCCCTTTTGCTTTGTAACAAAAGAGAAAATTAAAGTTGTTCACCAAAGCCCCAGAGCTTGATGGAAACAGCACTCTTGAATACCTTCTTTAAGTTTTTTTTTAAAAAATTCTTTTATTATTTTATGTTACGGGTGCTTTACTTGCGCTTGTGCACCGCTTGTTGGCCTGGTGCCGTCAGAGGCCAGAAGAAGGTGATGGATCCCTTGGATCTGGAGTTATGGAGAGTTGTGAACTACCATGTAGGTGCTGAGAATTGAACTCAGGTCCTCTGGAAGAGCAGTCAATGCTCTTAACCACTGAGCCGTCTCTCCAGCCTTTTTGAACATCTTCTCACTGTGTTATTAGTTCATTAGCAGATGCTGATTAGGGCATAGAGCTCTGCAGCCAAGTCCCCCAGGGTACAGGCCTGTCTGTTCTGACAGTTTCTGGACACCCCAGGGCAGAGATCTGGTCCTTACCTGCCTGGGTCCTCATTTGTAGCAAAGGATATGATTTTAGGAGTATCTGCTTCATAATGTCACTGTTGAATTGAATGTGATATATATATATATATATATATATATATATATATATATACCCCCCCCCCGCCCCCCAACCTACCCTACTCTCACTCCACTCATACCCCCCCCAAAAGAAAAGAAAGACCAATACTTAAAAACCTGACTTGCAGCCAAGTATATTCAAATGATACTGTTAACACGGTTGTCTGTTTTCCTTTCTGTACACTCATCGCCCCTGGCCAGCACCAGTTCCTAGATGCACCCCCCAGTAGACCTAATGCTGGAAGTCCAGGAAACACCAACAGAGTATAGGAGTCTAAGACCCGAGCAAAGCCTCTTACATATACTTGCACTGGGGCCCAAGTGAGCAGCTCCTACCAGCTCACTGCTGGCTAAGGGAGAAAGGAGGTCACTGCAGGCAGGCCACCAGCAGCACAGCACAAGGACCAGCAAGACCTCAGACAGTAGCCACTGGGACCCTGAAAGGATTTCCTGTCTAGCAGAGATGGAAAGTAGCATTCAGGAGGTGCTGAAGTAACGTCCAGTAACTGTGGTCTGGCTATAAAGCCTTGACCTTTTTTATTTTCCTGTAATTTAGGTTTCTTCAAAACAAAAATTATTTGAAGAAGGTAAAGACTAAAGGCAAAACTTTAGTACTTTTACAAATCATATCATGGCTGGGGAAATGGCTCTATGGGTAAAAAGGTCTTAGCAGTGCAAGTCTGAGGACCAGAGTTCAAATCCCCAGCACTCTTCTGAAGTTGCTCACAGTCAGATACAGGGGGATTCAGTGTGTACAGCCAAGGAGGAGTCCCTGAGGGTCCTGCCTAGCTTCTCAGATAGGCAAGATACCATGTTTGTCTTCCAAGGCTTGGTGTCTTTATCCACACTTCGTGATTATCTGTGACAAACCGTGGGAGAGCCCTGGGCCCACGGTTTCTCCCTGACGGTATAGCTAAGGACTTAGTCATCAGAGGGGCCTTGGCCCATTTGCGCAATTACTGCAACAAAGAATGGTTCCACACCAGCACCTTCTCTGGTGCTGCTGACTGACTCTGTTATCTCAGGAAGCCACAGCAAGCAATTTTGGGTCAGAGCAAAGAGCCAGAAACATGGGCGGCGACCTGCATGGCCACAGCTGCACAAGGGCCTGGCACCACTCAAGCCTTTGCTGCCTTCATGCCCAGATTCTTGGCAGGCTTTCTCGGGTTTACAGGGAAAGGTTCCTTTCTGTTAATTTGCTTGACAAATATTTTTTGGCTGGTGTTCAGAGATGATCATAAGAAATGTGTGAAGTCAGATGTAGTCCCCAGAGTGGCTCCGGAAATTTCCAAAGGCCTAGGGGTTGGGCAGAAAGGGCGTGCAGGGCTGGGCTGGGTGAGTCCTGGCCTGAAGACCTGGTAGTAGAGACAAGTTGAGGGTGGAGTCACAAACCCGTGCCCCCCACACCCCACCTCTAGGTCAGGCAGCAGGCAGCCGGCCTTCTGTGAACAGACCCGAGCATTTGGGTGCCAGCTGGAGAGAGCCCTGCCTCCCTGGGGATTGTCCAGCCCAGCGAAGATGTCAATTGTCTGTTGTAAAATTTCCAAAAATCTCATGTCAACAACTCATTGGAAGTACACCTAAACCGTAATACAGGCCTGAGGAAAGACTCACAACCGGTTATCAGCAAAATGCAAATCAAAACCAGTGGGATGGCAACTATCAAAAGAAAACAAAATAACCCAAGCTGAGGAGAAGGTAGAGAAACAGGAACCTGTGTGCACTCTTGGTAGGAATGTAAAATGACACAGCTGCTATGGAAAACAGTGTCACAGTTCAAAACAAAACAAATCAGTATCTGGGGGCCCAACAGTTCTACTTTTGGATCCATACCCAAAGGAAAAAAAAAAAACAGATTTGAAAATATCCATTTTCTTTGTTTTTGTTTTTTACTTATGTATCTTTGTTTATATTCCCACAGAGGCCAGAAGAGGCCGTCAGATCTCCTAAAGTTGGTGTTACTAGTAGTTGTGTATCTCTCTCTCTCTCTCTCTCTTTCTCTCTCTCTCTCTCTCTCTGTGTGTGTGTGTGTGTGTGTGTGTGTGTGTGTGTGTGTTCTCTATGGAATATTATTCAGCCTTAAAAAGGAAGGGAATTCCAACATGTGCTGTAACTTGAGGACATTATGTCCGGTGAAATAAGCCAGTCACAGAAGGACAAATGCCACACGATTCTATTTAAACGAGGCCCCCAAAGTTCTCAAATTCACAAAAACACAAAGTAGACAGTGGTTGCCAGGGCCTTGTGGGGAGCATGCAGGAGAATATTAGGATTAGATTTTCAGGGACAGCACTGAGTGTATTAATAACCCTGAATTATAGAGAGAAAATAGGAACCCATCACTTCTGTATTAATGGCTCTTATAGCAATAGCAAAAATATAGGAAGGAAAAACAGCTATAGTAAATACGGCAAAAACTCTTACCTTTGCCCCAGTGTGGCCTCAGGCTGCTGGCTGGTCCCCTCTGCTGCGCCTCACCCTCCATGCTAGTCCACTGGTGGTGCCCACTTCCTGTCCAGCCCACTCAGCAGTGTCTCAGCGATGGACTCTAGGAGGTTGGAGTCCTGGCTCTGCTTGTTATCTGCCATGGATGTGGGTGGGTCAGGGGTAAAAAGGGCTTTGTCACTGACTGTGATCCCTACATGAGTGCCTCAGATTCTTGTCCTGAAAATTCAGATGTGCTATGTGATACCAAAGCCCTGCTCAGCAGCGATGGCACCCACAGATGGGAATAGTGCTTTAGAATGGCAGGGAGATTGCGAGGTCGCCATCCACATCTTCAGAGGAGGGCAGCAGAATCATCAAGCTTTTGCTAGGAAAATTTAGTCCATTCACACGAATGGTGTCATTTTGCTCCTTGTTTTCTGTGTTTTATCTTTTTCATTTCTCAGTTCCTCTCTTACCATCTTATTTATGTTGAACAAATTTGTTTAGTGAAGCATTTTAACTAGACTATTTGTTTACAGCTTTCTGAGAAAAGAGATTATATTACTGTTTGCTGTAGGTATTAAATATACTTTTAAGTTATCATAACTAATTTCAAGTTAGTCGTGACTTAGTTGCTGTAAAATGGATTAATTTCATTCAGGGATACCTCCATCCTATCCCATGCTTTATACTGTTTTGTGTGCTACGTCCCCATATGTCTGTATTCGTCAGCGCTCTTCCCTGTAATGAGATCCCTGAGACAGACTCACTTAGCCTACAGTTTTGGTGGCTTAAAGCTCAACATTGAGTAGTGGCCCTGGAGGTTTGGCCTCTGGTGAGGATGATGCATGGCATCATGTTATGGACAGCATAAGGTCTCTGTAAGACCCCCCAGACCCCCGGAGACTCAGGCCCCCAGGATCTCAGCCCAGGACCGAGGCCACCCCAATCACCATGCGGAGGCAGAAACTTGATGCAAACTGCACGAGGCTTTATTGTAGTTGTTTAACGAGCTAACCCCATGTTAGCTCGGGCCTTTCATCCACCCGCCATGGCAGGTGGCTAGGAAAGACGCTGCGAAGCGTCTGCATAGAGATCTTGTAGGGCAGCGTAAGGGGAGTGTCTAGGAGTATGCACAAGCTCAGGATTGGTGTGCTTTCAGGCTTGGAGGGTTTGCCCTGTGTTGATTGGTCAACTGGTTGTTACGGCCCATAGGCCCTCCCAGGGCAGTTGCTATGCTCTGTGCGTCATTGCTGCGCGCTTGTCCGTAAAGCACACCCAGAGCCGTAAAGCATAGCACCACCAGCTAACTTCTGATTGGTTCCTTGCCACGAGGCAGGCATCTGACCTCCTAGTGACCAAGCCAAGGTCAGGCAAGTACGTGTTCAGCTGTTATGGCTGCCAAAATGGGGAGCTGGTCCCTTCAGTCACATCTTAAGGGGAGGGAAAAGATATATATATAATTTTTAAAAAATGGGCTTGAGAGACGGCTCAGTGGTATGCCCTCTCAGAAGGTAATATATATTATTATTACTATATAATAGATGTAGAGAGAATAATGCTTTCTTAGAAATGCTCTTTTTGAAATTCCTTTTCAGGTGATCTTGTCTTCCACAATTAAAATATTTGACATTTCAATTTTCATCTAAACCTCTTGAAATCACCTCTCCTATCCACGTATTGCCATTATGGTCATGAGTCTCAATATTAATTGTACTCAGATCTAATCCTCCAAACATGCTGACCTTGCTTTTAAAGGCCTAATTATCCTTTTGCATTGGGCATTAACATTTTCTTTCTTTCTTTTGCTGGGGGAGGGGGGTCGAGACAGTGTTTCTCTGTAGCTTTGGAGGCTGTCCTGGAACTAGCTCTGGTCAAAGTAGCTCTTGTAGACCAGGCTGGTTGCAAACTCACAGACATCAGACTGCCTCGGCCTCTTGAGTACTGGGATCAAAGTTGTGCACCACCACCACCACCGCCCGGTGGGCATTAGCATTTTCAAAGGCCATGGTTTCAATCTTATTTTTCTAGCTTCTGAATCTGGTATCATTCTATTTACTGCTGATAGAAGTCTTTGTAAGAAATCTGTGACTGCTTCCTTGGGCCCTGTATAACTTTTGTAAATGATTAAATTTTCTTTCCTGGTTCTCCCAATTCTTTCCCAAGCATTCAAAGCTGCTGTACATCATAAACCCAAGATCTTGGAAGATATCCCTATCTCTTGCTTTATTCTTTTGTTCAATATTCTTAGCCTCTTCTCTGAACCAAGAAACCCATTATAATTGTGGTCCAGGCTCTAGAACAGCTTTAATCAAATCTATTCGATCTATAAGGATAACCCTATTACAAACAGACCATGTGTTTATCATCTGCTTCACAAATGGTACATGGATGCCATAGGAGACTACAGCTTCCTTGAATTTCCCTAAATCTAACATTGTCGCAGGCTTCCAAGTAGCTCTTATAGAACCTTTTTCATTTGGCACTTCTTGTAAGGTTACTGGATATATTTAAGTTCTCTTAAGACCTTAGAGTGTTCCTTTTTAGCCTCAGAATGAAATGCTGAATTTGTTTCTCCGTGTAATTCCTCAGTCTGGTTTGAATGTCTCTATAATATGCTTTAATAAGTTATTATAAATTCGGCATCTTAGCACTCATATCAACCAACTCTTTTAGAGATAAACCAAGAATTATCAAACTGACAACAAAGATTATCAAAACGATAACAGTATGTCAATGCCAGTTAAGTTGATTATCTCTTCATTTACTTGTTCCATTTTTGAAACACCCATTATGTAATCATACCAAGACCTAATTCTCTCCACTTTAATAGTGTTTTCCATTTTTTAGTGTATGAGAAAAAAAACTGTATTTTTTTTAGCTAATCCCTTCCTTTAAGAATTTCCAATTGGCTTACCAAATCTGCCAACAATGTAAGTGAACTGTGAGGCATAACACGTCTGAATCAGAGAACCAGCTGTTGCCTGTGAGCTGAAAGTGTCAGCCAGAGGAAAGGGGTTCTAGGAAAAGCCCAAAAGCCTCCTGAGTTTTGGCGGCAGCTGAAGACTGTTTAGAAAAGCTACAACCAAAAACATTCCCCTCAAATCTCGCTCAAAGATTTGAGGGGAAAACAAAAGAAAACCTAACTGGGACTGAGCAGGAGGTACTCATGCAAGAGTCCTGCCTGCACCTCAAGCTTGGGCCTGATCTGGTAGTCTCAAAGCAGCTTCTTCATGAATTCATACTTTAACGTTGGGTGCCAATTGTAGCATGATAAATAAAAGATCCAGAGACAGATGTTGGGGTTCAAGCTTCAAGCTGAAGATTAGAAAGTAAAGCAGCCAAGCCAGTAGCTCTTACCTCTACTCCAGGCTGAAAGGGTTGATCCTGTCTGCACGAGTTCTCACCAAGCCTCAGAATGCTGCCTCTCCTTAGCGTGGATAGAGAATATATGCCTTCCTATCCTCAATGTGGCTGGAGAATCAACGTCTGAAACTGACTAGTGAAGACCCTGCTCTTATCTTTTATACCTCTCTAGTGCTGGGATTAAAGGTATGAGCTCTGTTACTCTTTTAGACTGATTCAATCTGGTGTAGCCCTGGCTGGCCTTGAACTCAGAGAGATCCATCTCCTTTTGCTCCTGAGTCCTGGAATTAAAGGTATGTGCTATCACTGCCTGGATTCTATGGCTGCTTTGCTATTTTGATCTCCAGTGGCTTTACTAAATCACAAACAATATATCACCACAGGTCATAAACTCTACTACTATTTTGCTAAAAGGACAAACACTACACTATCCTCTAAATGTGTATCATTGTACCCATGAACTAGCACAACCCTGACCTGACCTGTCATCGAGAAGCTTCATTATGCCAAGGATGAGGGATACAGAAAGTCACAATTAATCCTAGCACAGAAAATTCTCAACTTGCTCATTTTTTCATATCCTCTCCCCTGGACATGGCACATGTCTCCCCTAGATAGGACAGGTTGTTGTATTCCTGGCCCCCCAAACCTGAGTGAGGAGCTGGAGGGATAATTCATTGGTTAAGAGAGTCTCTTGCTCTTCCAAAGGACTCCAGTTTGATGGGGAAGGTTTTTCTGTATATATGTTTCTCTTATTGGTTGATGAATAAAACACTGACTGGTCAATGAGGCAGGAAGATAGGCAGGGCTAGGATGAGGAGAATTCTGGGAAACATAGTCAGAGCAGCCGCTATGTAGGCTGCCAAAGGAGTAACAGGTCCAGACTCTTCTCTGATAAGACAAGACCACGTGGAAATACATAGATTAATAGAAATGGGATAATAATTAGAGCTAACAAAAAAGAAGCCCAAAACACTGGCCAATGGTTTTATCATTAATATAGTGCCCGTGTATATATTTGGGGCCCAAAGGTGGCAGAACCAGGCTGGGACAAGAAACTCCGCAACACCAGTTCAGTTCCTAGTACTTACACTGGTTTGCTCATAACTGCCTGTAATCCAGCTCCAGGAAATCTGATGTCCTCTTCTGGTCTATGTGGGCACTGTTTACACACACACACACACACACACACACACACACACACACACACACACACAGAGAGAGAGAG